AGTTCGATGAGGTTAATATACTGGCCACTTTTCATCCAGCTGGCAAGGATTACGGCCACATGATCATCGATGAGCCAAAGACTCCGTTCGTTTTCGAAGATGATTTGCCCACGGAGCTGGACACAAATGCGCTGATCGAGAAGTTACGCCAGACATCGAAGTCAGAAACGCCAGCATTTGGGATCGAAGGGGACTCTGATGATTCCTCGGCTGACGAGGATTTTCCTGAATCAGTGGAGGAGAAAGTGCGGAGGATTGAGTTTGAGAGGCGTCGTAAGCTGCACTATAAGGAGTTTTTTTCGGTGCCTCTGGCTCGACGTCTTATAGCCGAGGAACTCTACGAATTGTCCAGCTGTGATATTAGCATTCAGAGTGAAAAGATCAGTGGAGACCATGAGGAGATATGCTGCGAAACTGCTCATCTATCCGATAGCCGAGTTAGCTCCTTAGTGAAGAGCAGGTCCACCATATCGGCCACTCAATCGGATGACAGGACATCGGAACAAAATGAGCCAGAGCCCGGATTTTCTCCCAGCCATCCTTGCTTCCAAAAACTGAAGGCGGAGATCTTTGACAAAGCTCCAGTGGAATTCGCCTCGTTGACTCATCTGCAACGTCTGCCCTCGGTCAACGACTCGGAAACGCATCAGGAACTTACGGGTCCAAACACTTCGATCAATCCAAGTGCCCGACACACCATTCTGGAGGCAAAACCTGCAATCACAAAATCAAATCCTGCACGTATATGCAAAACGAGATCCAATACTCAGGCTTCGGCTTTCAATAAAACAAGCCGTTGAATCATGACATAATTTGCGGTGTGCCTTAGAACAAATTTTAAAGTTATGCTGTGAAGAATCCTGCTCCCCAGCCGATAATGGGCTCTCCAAAATGACTAAGAAATAAAATCTATTTAAAATATATTAAAAATGTTGTTGCAATTGATTTCAACAAATTCAATACTATGGAGGGAAACAGAAATTACTAGGTATAAAAATGCCATTTACTGAAGAAGTCCAATGTTTCATTATGCTATTATTTTTCATTGTGATTTCTGTTGCAATTACATTTTTAAAAAAAGACAATGTCTAAATTTAACATTCGTTGAAGCTGTTCTCACTAAAATCCGAGAAATACCAATCTGCCAATAAAGTTTTTCAACCCATCGATTAATTTTCCTTTATTCAGATCCGGCTCATTTAAGCTTTGTTTGTCTAAGATGCTTAGCAAATTTATGGCCAGAGATACCTTTGGCCTTAATAATTGTTGAGATGGTAATATGATTAGCCCACTCACCTTTAGTTGGCCTGTCCATCGGCACTCCGGCTGTCCAAGTTCATTTGGCTGAGAAATATTTAATTACGCCCTGACCCAACTGTAATTACTACGGGGGCGACAAAAGACACAAAGCCAAAGTTTGCCTAATAACTTATTGTGGCATTTTGTTTCGTAATTGAAAATTCCTTTGACAGTCCAAGTAGCCGAGGAGTTTTCTTCCGGCCAATCGCCTTCATTTTGATTTAATGTTTTGGCCAATTCGATTGTTAAGGAATCTGATTTCTGGCTTTTAAGATATTTCCTCGAATATTACACCTGCAAAATCACTTGAAATAATTATGCAAAATGTTTAATTTAGCCATTAGAACTTGTAGCAGTTCAGTTTTATTATTATTAAGCTTCGCTCATTCGTTTGCAAATGAAAGGACAACAAGATACCGGATGGTGGTTGGGGTAAGTGTCATGAATATTTATAGGGTCCATGTTATCAATGAATAGATTTCAATTAAATTTATTTGAGAGTACTTTGGGAGAGTGAAATGAACAAAAGCGACAGGGTTGAGCAAAGTTGGGCATGTAAAGATATACAAAACGATAAGGTCAAGCGTTTTAAATCAGAAGTTGTAAAACATTCTTCTTTGAATGTGTAAATAATATTTGTCCAATTATTTTAGAGCGTTTCTTAACTTTATCCAATATTGACACTTTATTAAATATTATTACCATTAAGAAAATAGCCATTTGTATTTTTCACCTCAGCAAGCTGTCCATTTGCAAGCTGTCCATTTAATTGTTGATCCTTAACCAAAGGCTTTTAAATGCATTTAAACCGAAAAACACTTAAACTGGACAAACAACATGGATGGCTTAACCTGCTGGCAGCATCCTTAACCCCGTGAAGCCATTTAATGCGAACTGGCCATTTGGCCAGAAATGATGGCCGAAGTGAAATTTAAGTTGGCTCCAATTGATGGCCGCAGCATCTTTGTCTCCGTCCGGTTCTCCTCCCCCGGACTCGAGTCCGGCTCTTCCTGCCATCTCCGACTCCGTCCCCGTCTCCGCCTCGGTCTCCGTAACAATTGCCGTGTACATTTCATTAAGTGCATAAGCCCGTCCGGCTGTCAGCGCTCCTTTCTCCGCCTTTCTCCATATTTCCTCTCCTTTCTCCTACTTTTCACCCAGAGACCCTTCTCGTTGCTTTTGCTTTTCCACTTTGGCCTGCTCCGTTCATGTGAAGCGATTTTAAGCCGGAAAATTATTTTTAATGCTATTTACACTCACAAATGAAAATGCAAGCGCAAATAAAGGCCGCCAGCAGTCACGAACTGGCCAACAACTTAACTGGCATAAATGCTTCTGCCCAAAAAAAAAATGTATATAAATTGCAAGACGAATTGCGAATGCAGTGGTGAAAGCTTATGGGTACTAGCCATTCTTTGGTATTAGCTTGTAGTTGTACACTTTTATAAATTAATTAAAAACTTAGTTTTACATTTAAAGATTATTTAAATAAATATATAGCTGATTTATTAATGGCCGTTTTTGCTAACTTTAAAATGTTCATATTTAATTGTACAGTATAAATTTATTTATTATTAAATACTAAGCTAATGAAAAAAATGAATTAGTAAAAATAAATATCTGACTATTAAATAAAAAATGTCATATATAATTGTAAAGGTTAAAAACAATGCACATTAAATTAAATGATTTAATATTAAAACATTTTTTAAAATGTTGAAAATATAGGACTTAAAGTAGCTCCTATTTATCTTGTATTTTCAGTTTTCCGAAACTCTTTAGCCAATGCCGGCACAGGGTATCAGTAAAACAGAAACCACGGAGATCTGGACAGAAAGCGAGGGCAAGCAAAAAAGCTGCCTTAAAGCAGCTGCACACATTTCAGACAAGGACCTCGACCTGAACGCGTGTCGCTAAAAAAGTTCGGCTAAATATTTGCGAAAGCATTTTCGCTATTTGTGATGGCATTTCGTGTGGCATGCTCTCCCCTCCACAGTCACCATTCCGGCATCTCACGTTGCAAGTGCAGCACGCAAGGAAGGCCCATGGGAAAGGATTGCCGGGGGAAATGGGGATTGAGCTGCACTTGCTTCGCTGGGGCATCAATTTTCATTTTGATAAATTATAAAATGGCCCAGCGCTGGCACCCAGAGCACCAAGCACACAGCACCGAACACCGAGCACATCCTCTGCCCAGGGATAAATGGATTGCCTGGCCGTGGCCAGCGTTAACCCATGGCAGCAGCCTTGAAAATTGAATGCCAATGGGTTCGGAAAGGAGACAACAAAGCAGTTTAGATGGTTAAATGAATAGGGGCCGCGATATAAGGAGCGGTTCTGGTAGCCACTTTATTGATACATCAATCATCGTAACTTGTAGCGGTTCAAAACCACTTTCGCTGTGGTTTATTGAATAAATGAATGGTCTGACTCCTTGAACAAAATCAATTGGGAAAAATGGGAATTACACTTTTAATAGTTTTTATATTTAAAAACTCTTTTTAATATCTGTTTTGGTAAGTGGCTGTTTCAAAAGATTTTTTTAAATATTTATATTGGTCAAAATCCTGGTTTTTATTTTACAAATTTTAGAAAATATGAATTTAAATAATGTCAAAATATAACAACGTTGTGTGTAACAAGAATTTGAATAATAATTTTTATTAGTATACATTTGAAACAAATATATAACAATAATATTTTATCAAAAAAATACTTGAAAAATCTTATTAGTAACTTTATAAACTTGAATAGTAATTTTTAATAAATTTTAAAAAACATTCAATGGGTTAAAATAGTGCCATGAAGGTTTTCCTTAGAAGGAAGAGCGTATCATCATTAGGAGCTGGGTTTTCTCATATTCTCCACGCCTTTCTCTTCGCTTTTCCCTTTCTCCCCTTCTCTGTCATGTAAATGTAGCGTTGCAAGTGTGGCTAGCAAGTGACATTGTTTAATTGATTGCCACTCAATTTTTCTCTTTTTCCACCAAACTAGCTGGAAAAGCTAATAAAGATTTATGTAGTTTTAAATTTGTTGATTTTTTTGTGCACCTGGCCAAACAAAAGTACTGGATTCGGCGCTCAGGATTAAGGGTGTCACGAGCCAGAGGTCAGGGTCATGCAGGTCATCCCTTTTTTGACTTGTCCTAAGCAAATATGGAAATGCACGCAAGCCAGGAGCGAGCACGTAGTCAGGATAAAGACCAGAAAAATGTCCTTTTATCTCTTTTACTCATTCTATATCGACCTCTCTCTCTCTTTTATACTATGTTTGTGTTTATTTGTAATCAATTAAAGGATAAGGCAATCTATTTGAAAGCCAGCTGTCCCCGTTCCTTCGCTAGTGGCGTGACTTGTTTACTTAATAAACCGCAGCTGAAGGAAGTTTAACCTTTACTTCGTCACTCATTTTCACTGGCTAATAATTACTTATTTAAGCACGCATAAAATAAAATAAAATGTAATAATAGTTGGAATCAATGAATGAAGTAAGTCTTTTAATCATTTTTTCGGATTAGGGGACATTTTTAGAGGGTCAAATATGTTTGAGAATATGACAATCAAACCAAAATTTCAATTCGTTCCGTTAGAATTTTTAAGAACGAATAAAACACAATCTTTTAAATGCATAACTCACGATTTATTTGTATAACATAGAAACTAATAAGCCTACATTAATACTACAAAAGTTTCCAAACGCATTCAGGCTTTCCTTTTTTGTCGGTCTCTTAAGATAACCAGCCATTCGTTATTGTAGCGGAAGTTGTACTGTAGCTTTGATTAGAGTTACCACCCCAGTAGCGATTATTACCATTACCATTATATCCGTTGGCCCCGTTCCTATTTCCTTGCCAGTTTCCAGGACCCATTCCATTTGGACCGCCACGTGGTCCACCCATTCCATTTGGACCGCCAGGTGGTCCACCCATTCCACTTTGACCGCCAGGTGGTCCACCCATTCCATTTGGACGTCCCATTCCAATTTGTCTGCCCATTCCGTTGTATCCGCCCTGACCTCCCATTCCATTACCGCCCACGCCACCGTTACCAATTCCATTGCCACCCATCCCGTTTCCCCTGCCACCCATTCTATTGTCACCCATTCCATTGTCACCCATACCACCATAACCCATTCCATTAGCGCCCATTCCTCCTGGCCCCATGCCATTGCCACCCATCCCGTTTCCTCTGCCACCCATTCCCATACCATTGCCATACATCCCGTTTGCATTTCCTCCTTGACCACCCAATCCCATTGGTCCCATTCCGTTTCCTCCCATACCGTTTCCATTCTGTCCACCCATTCCCCCCATAACGTTTCCTCTCATTCCATATCCGCTTTTACTTCCCATTCCGTTTCCATTTTGTCCACCCATTGCTCCCATACCGTTTTCTCTCGTTCCGTTTCCGTTCTGACTTCCCATTCCGTTTCCATTCTGCCCTCCCATTCCATTTCCTCCATTGTTCATCACGTTGCCTCTTCCCATTCCAGTTCCACCCATTCCGTATCCTTGCTGATTAGCTTGACGCTTCCGACGTTCCAAAAAATTCCCTGGATGAATAACAGTTCATTTGAAAATTACTCAAGTTTTTTTTTTTTTTAAATTTCAAATATTAAAAATAAGTTCAAAATAAAAAACCATACGAACCTGAAGTCAATGAGTATTTTTCAGTTATTTCACATGTAGGATACTCCCCGCATTGATCGCCAATTTGATTTGATTCTGTACAAGGTTTTTTGGCTATGATGCATTTCTGACCCGGAGCACATGATATATCTCTGCAATTACGTCCATATTCTATTTTAACTTACAATTATACCTTTATACCTCCTAAAAATTTTATTTTAAAGCACTTACTCCTGTAGCCCTGAACATTGACGACTGTTACTATAAGTAGGCATGCCAAAAAAATTTGTCCCATCACGTTCCCGCACAACAAAAACAACTTTCTGAACTCTGTTTTCAAAACACCCCCATTTTTATACATTTTTGACCAACATGCATGAAAAAGTTTAGTAATTGTTTCTGTCAAAGTAAATTTACCAAATGAAAACATTAGCTTGGGCTAATTAAATACTACTGGTTGATTGGCCTAGTGCATGAGATAGTCACGGATTATTTGTCAGATTTTTGTAAAGCTCAGCGCGTCTAAATTTTATTAGACTTTTGGCACTGTGCATAAAATTATGGCATTGAACTTTTCCAAGGTCAAATCAATCATAAAACAGTTATGACCATACATTTTGGATATGTTAAATGGTTGGTTTTTTATAATACCTTTTTCACGAAAAAAAGAATAGAATCAGCATTGAAGAGTAAACTGTTTCGTCATAAAATTAATCACTATAATAATTATACATTGAGAAATAGGTATAGGCAACAAATAAAATGTAGCATTGCAATATTTACAATGATAATGACAACACTAGAATTCTTAATAGTTTTTTGTAGCCTCTTTTTCCTGCTTTTGTAGTCGCCCATACTTGGTATGCTTTTTCACATTGTCAACTGCCTACTTAGCGCAAATGGTATTTTCTTGGCCTCCGTCTCCACAATTTACGAGCATAACAAATGAAACAAAGTTTTATTCTCCGTCACTTGAATATCTTCCGTGGAAGTCGGAAAAGTTTAGACCAGGGATAGTGGGGATATGTAGCTGCATCTTTATGCGCATATGTAAACATTTCCTGGCTACAAGAAGTGCTAAAATCTTTTGGCTAAACTACTTTAGCCTAACACGGCCTCAACTTTCTGCCCAGTTGAAAAAGTTTGCAGCCCCAAGAATGTGTACGTCATCTCTATATATGTATGATATATATAAATCCCGCAATGGTGTTATAATTCACAACATAACCCGGAACTTGGCGTAAAAACTTTCACTTGATGGAATGCAGAGATTAAATTACCAGAGTTAAGCTCCAACATTGTTAAATATTTTTGTAGCCACTTACAAATAAATACAAATTTTGTTTTTACTTATTTATTTATTACTGGCCTTAACGAAGTTTTTTACGAATACTCTATGTATACAAAAGCTATTTTATAAATCCAAAAATATTTCCCTTGTTTTCAATTTGGCCAATAGTGTGAATATACCAAAAACATTAACCCTTTGAAAGCCGAAACTAGTATGAAAAAAGGTTATTGCTAAAGGAAAGTGATTGTTCAACAATGTGGCACGAAAAAACAAACAAACACAATTCGAAAATGGTTTAACTATTCTACAATATTTGAATTTCTCTTCAGCACAATTCATTGACTGACTGACTTGACTTGGTCAAGGATTGGATTTATTTGTGCCACTGTTTCACAGTTTTTTTTTATATTTTTTATTAAACTTTTATTTTGCAGTAAAGGAATTTGCAAACTAAAATTCCAGGCAGGCTGGTCATCGTTTGTTTGCACTGCTCTCTGCTAAAAACGAGAGAGAGGAACCTGACAATTTATAAGGTATTTTTTCGGTCAAGTGTTTGGCATTAAATTTATGCGCGATAGCTAAAATAAATATAAACACGAAACTATTTGTTTTTGGCTGGCAAAAGGTTATTGGCGTAAAGATTTTCATTGATTTTATGGCGTTGAAATTTCAATTTTTGGCTGACAAACGGCTTTTATTTACGCTTTTGTTTCTCTATTTATTTTCATTCATGAAATATTTTAAAGTTGTAGAAGTGCTAGCCAAATTGAGATTTTTCGGTGAGCCGCAAAATATATTTTTAAAGTTTAAAACATAAATGGCTAGCTATTAAATTGGTTTTGTTTTAAGAGGAACTGTTTTTAAAGAATTTCTTAATATAAACAAATAAACTCCTCTTATAGTAATTAAAAAATTTTATAAAATTTTCGTGGATTTTTAGCGCTAATTTTAAAGCATACAAAATGACAAGCCACTAAAACTCAACCCAAAGCAGCCGCACAAAATCGGCGCCTGAGCACACCCCCTTTTTGCCCGCAAACCGGGCGAACTCATCCTTTCTGTCCGGCGGAGACTTAACAGCTCGACAGCTGTCCGTCTGCGAGTGTGCATTCGTGCTTGTGTGAAACTTTTGCACTTAAAAAATACATTAACTAATTCCTTTAGCTGGTTTATTAGGCAACAACTTCAAACTGTTTTTTGTTTGGCAGACTCGTACATTAAAAAATATGCTTGTAATTTTGCAATCCTTAACTTTTTTACATTTTTTTTACATTTTTATTTCCATTTTAAATATGTTTATTATTATTGTTTTTAAATTAAGGTGACAGCCCTCAATAACATTTGACGGTGTATAATTTATTTATTTATCTTAAATTATTTAAATTTCTTAAATTATAAGCTTAGACAAAAATTAGAAACCTTAAGATTTAACATTTATTTCACGAGTGTACTCACTTGAATTGTTTAATTCATTTTAAGGGTCCTATAACTGTTTTTTCGAGTCCTTTTGTCCTTCTTAAGTCCTTTGTGTGTATGCGTGCATCGTTTAGATTTAGTGCCGCTTGTTACGCTTTGATGTCATGTCATTTATAAGCGACGCAGCTTCGTGACCCCAACCCCCCGACACCCTGTGACCACCACTGCCCCCCGCCCCTGCTCCCGACCCCTCTAAACCACCCATAGCTGCGTGCAACAAAATGCAAACTGACAGTTTAGCATGGGAACAAGCTTTGGGAAAAAAAGGAAACTCAACATGACAGACCACGACAATGACGTTGGTGAAAAACTTAAAGCGAGCTTAAAGCTCGGGGGCAAAGGTCACGTGTCCACCCACATTTTTCCGCCCCAACCCATCGCACAAATTGCCGGACCAGCTGAGTAATTTACGCACAATAATCCGCATCGCTGAACTCTTCTTCCTTCGCTGGCCAGATGATTGATGTATGGACGTGTTAATTAGGTCCACTAGTGCCGCACTTACACTCCACTCTGCTGCAAATAAGAAAAAAGCTGAAATTAAAGACTCAGATCGCAGGGCGAAGGCAATAAAAATCTAAGCAAACGAGTGGGCAAACTTTCTTCGACGAATTGATTGATTTCTAGACACAAGCACATAAATCAGGCCAGTCAGAAATGCTGATTTGATTCAAATCGCAGCAACGGCGAAAAAGTTTTTCCCAAAAGCTCTTGATTACCAGTTAAGCAGTTTTGCACAAGCCATTAAGAATAAAGTATTTTTTTTTGTATCCAAACTTTGTGACATCCTAAAGCGGAATTATAATTACCCTTTGATAACTTAATAAATTTTATAATTAAATTTAATTCGATATGAATCTTACTTTAAATTAACCTTGCCTTTCATTAATGTGCCATGTAAAAAAATTAAAATAATTTAGTTTTGTTTAATGATTGTTATTATGAAGAATAAATTTCTTAGAATATTAAGCTGCTTGTACCTTTTTATAGCTAGTTCAAAGTAGTACCCACATCAAGGATTTGTTTTAGTCCATATCTCGTCAATAGTTGCCTACGTTCTTCAGGTACCCTTAGGCCGCATTCTGACAAATTCAATTTATTTCAAGTTCTCAAACCAACACAAAAAAATGACAAAAGCGCAAAAAGCGCAGGCAAAGGAGGAGTGGCAAAGGCGAGCACTGAACGCTGAAAAAGTGCAAGCTGTTCACTAAATCAAAAACAGATTTCGGTAACAAATTCGTTATGCACGTGACATGTCCAAACAATGCATGTGCCTCTGCCTGTGTCTGTGTTTGTATGTGGCTCTGTGTGGTTGCCTAAAAGAAATTTGAATAAGTGAATTTAAAAAGCGTTGGCGGCGACTAAGGCTGCAAAAAGAGCCAAAAAAAGAAGCACCTCCAACGAAGAGTCAAACAACAACAAACAAAATTCGAGCGGAGTGAAAAAAACGAATGTGTGTTCTCATAGTAAAGCCAAGGACACTTTCATGAAATGCAATTTCGCACTTGTAAACTTTTATGGCTGGCCTGTGTGTGTAGTTCACGGACGTCAGTTTTTTAGCTATTTTATAGCTTTTATATAAATTTATTTAATTTTAAAGTAAAAAAAACTCAGGTTCAAAACCTCAAATTCAGTTACAAGCCATTATGCCAAAAAATGGTTTGTACAATTTTTGTCATAATAAATATTAGAAAGTTTTTAAATATTTTGTTGTGGCTTATAAGATTTATGTTTTTACCTTAATCAATTGAATTAGAAGAATATCAGATAGCTTTTTTTATATTTGTTAAATGATATCTTATGTCGAATCACGATTAAATATAATTTAATGAACAGATTTTTAAAATAATGCATAAGGGATATTAAAAATAAATTCTGGCATTGCAATATTGATCAGAACAAACTTTAACATGGTTTTCGAAAAGTTTTCCCTATATGGCTACCATTTGTGACCAGCTGGCCAGCCCTTCTGCCCAAACACCGCAGCACTGCACCACTCAACTTCATGCCCTTCACAATCTTCACTGTACACCACCGCCTGCGACCCGTTCCAAGCCCTTTCTAACAGCAACATGCAAATCTGACTGTTGATGGCGCATTTTGCTTCGTCGAGCTTCCATTTTTCTACCCCCATTTCCTATTTTTGTTTGGCTATTTTTTGGGTAATTTTTTTGTTTTTTTTGTGAGGTAGGAGTATGTGTATGGAACTTGTTTATTTGCATGTCGTTGGATTCATTTGCGCCTAGGCTCAAAGAGGGAGCTATGTAGCCAGAGATTCCTCGCTTTTATATTTGCACACTTTGGCTAATGGATTTCCTTTACTGGTTTTGCCGCCTCGCTTCTTTTTTCTCTCGCTCTTTTTGGCACTTTTGCGGTTGCACACGGCGTATGCTTAATATTTGTTGTATGCCTCATTTGGCTTGCTTCGGGATTCGTTTTCATTTTCTCGTTTTTTTCGTTTTTTCCTAAGTTTTCGCCGGGCATTTGCAGCGCGTCTTAATTGAAAATTCAATTAGACCTGTGTAAATATTTTTTC